ACGATCACGAGACGACGACCACCACAGCGACGACACGGACCCCACACCAACGGACCACGAGGACGACGGCGACTTCGCTAGATTGTTTATTATTATATAACAGAAAATAATGTTTAATAGAATATAAAGTAAATTTTAGTTAATTTAGTTAAGTAAAATTAGGTGGAGGTGTTTTAAGTAACAAAATAAAAATGAAATAGCATAATGCATAGCCATAAAGAAGCAAAACAAGGAAGGAATAGATAATAGAGAAGAGTAAAGTTTAGATGCACAGATAATTTAGTCTTTCCGGTTACAAAAAATATACGTATTAAAAGCAAGCATCACAACGTTAACAGAAGTTGTTCGCCGCAATAGTACGGCTCCCAACTTGTCATATGGTAAGGGAGTAATGTAATACAGAAATAGTCAAAATAGATAGACATAGGATAATTGCATAATAACAAGCCTTTTGTGTAAACGCGCAGCTGACCTCGGGCGCTGAACTATGCAGCGTGACCAGAACCTAAACAATAGGAGGGCGCGGTATATATAACAGTGTGCACGCAGCACGGGATAGATAGCGGCCGTCTCTACTATTTGCACTACTACGAACGTGGCAAGAGATATTCGTACTGCTTTCACCGTTGACGAAGACTACTATAGATATGTAAGTTCATGTTTGTATGTCGCGTACACAGCTGTACACTACGGTTCACTATTACGGGCATATATATGTTACCGTCATTACCAACTATTAAATATGTGTGTGTTTGAAATACGTACCTTCAGTGTTGGCTAATTTATGTATAATGCGTACAGCGGTATATCTTAATAATATACGTAGACCCGAACATACGATCACGGATAACACCTCGAGTAGTCGAGAGCTATAGGAGTAAGAACTAAAACGTTACAACGGGAGCTCCTCTGGCTTAACCGTTATCATATCAATTGGCGACGAAATGACTAATATTCCGTCATGAAAAGATTTGAGAAGTGCCTTTCTGCGTTTTCTTTCCTTTCTCTCCTCTTTCCGCTTTTCCAATTTTTTGCTCGCCTTTTTCCCGAGTCTGTACATCCCGTAAGGCAAGGCGACAACAGCGGCACCTACCGCCAGAGCTCCTCCAGCCGCCGCCAACGTAAGTACAACAGGAGACGCCGCTACTTTACCTGCTGTAAATTGCACACAGAGCCAATAGTTACGCTCGTCAAGTTTTGTTTTAAATACAGGGCGAAGTAGCATTTTATCTGTGAGTCCGTTCTGGTAGTGTGTAGGGACGGACGTCCAAGCGTGCTTTATTGCCGACTGTATACAATTTTTTTTAGACAATGCAAAGTTACGTAGGAAAAGCGTATGCAAATGCGGATAATTAATATAATGATACACGATGTATTGCGATGATTTTACAATCGCCGCGGAGTGTTGATGAGCCTTACCAAATATGGATCCCCGCACGAGCCTGCGAATACACGTCTGTTCTGGTCGAAATGCGTACTTGCAACCAAATATGCTGTACTTGCTCCCGTGGTTGCCTAACAAACCCAGCGCGATAAAACGTTGTCCACACAGGTAGCAGAACTCAGTCTTGCACATTCCACACTGCATGTGGTCACAGCCGGAAGTTCTCTGAATATATACCTGCAAGGAATAAGCTATAGGCATGTAAAGTCTTAACCAACATCCCCATGTGTACCATTTTATACCAGTAGGTATGAGTACGCAATTAACGGTGTCGAGAAAAGACGCTTTAATAAGAGATCGAATATATTGACTCATGGCGTACGGGCGCCATTCTCTTGCTCGGTGGATTATTAATACGCAATATCGTACTGCCGGATAATAAATATCGGATTATTAATAGAGCAATATCGTACTGCCAACAATGAACAACATCCTAAATTGTGTTTGCGTCGGTGGGGACATATATAATATGTGCCTCCTCTGGTGTGAATGCGTAAGTGCACGCGTTTTCGTGCGTATGTGTGTGCGTGCGTAAGTGCATGCGTTTTCGTGCGTGTGTGTGTGTGCGTGCGTAAGTGCATGCGTTTTCGTGCGTATGTGTGTGCGTGCGTAAGTGCATGCGTTTTCGTGCGTGTGTGTGCGCGCGTAAATGCATGCGTTTTCGTGCGTATGTACGTGCGTGCGTTAGTGCGGGCGTAGGAGCACTGAGTCGCTGCAGCTGCGTAATTGCTCTGCCTAATGACCGCCATACCTTGCATTTGGGACATCTCTGGGCGTTGCGTTGACGCATTTCCTCGCTGTTATGCTTTGCCCACTCGTGCAGCAGTTTGTCGCCCTTTCTGTACTCTTTGCACGACAGTCCCTCGTGCCACGGGGCATGGCAGGGAAAGCACCAAACCAGGTGGCAGTCTACGCAAGTCACGGCGCTTCTTTTTCCCGAGGTGGGCTCGCGTTCGAGAGTCATAATTTTGTTGCACCTGTATAGAAAACATGATACTCTTGTACGGCTATACACTTCAGCCCACGATGCTAGAGGCTAATAAACTAATCAGTGCACGCAATGGTAATGCAAGTAATGGTAAAATATACTATCGAATATTATACCATAGATATATACAAACACTATGATTATAAGCACCATCGTGCTGCACAGGACGCTAATAGTGCTAAACAAATCTGTATTGATAAACAGACATGGACCATTGCCAATAAAAATACTTCCGACTCACGCCGTAACCCGGAACTCCCAATAGATAAATAAGCATAGATAAACTTGTATTTCGGTGTATGAAATGTAAATTCCCGAAATTACCCATTGGAGTTATTGTTGGCGATGGACCAGCACTGTTGACTGATGGGTAATATTGGGTAAAAATGGGCAATTTTTTTCTCAATGGTTTAATAATTACGCCTCGTACCGAGTAATATATCGATTCTGCATTCGACAGTTAGCGCCAACCCAAATAAAATACGGGAGGGGCGGGGCGGGGGCATAGGTGGGGGTAGCCAGCTATATACCTGGGACACGTCTTCTGTCTCGGGTCGTTATTTGCGTCGACAAGATATCGCACGAACTTCTCTTTCGTCTCGGCATCGACGAGCATGAACATGATCTCGTCGCGATGCATGAATCCGCCGCAGTCGGCGTTGCAGCAGTCGATCTGCGCGACGCCGTCGCCGATCTGCACGTGCACGTACGTCTGCAGGCACTGCTCGCAGACGAGCAGCGCGCAGCAGGGTCGCGCTCGCAGCGTCGCCACCGTTAAACAGACCTCGCACTCGGCGACCTGCAGCGGCATGTGCGGAAACGGAAGCGGTCGGCCGGCGCGCGCGTGCTGCGCGACGTAGCCGACGGCGCCGAGCAGCGGCGCCCAGGCGGCGCTGATGTCGATCTCGAGCGCGGCGAGGAACAGGGTGACCATGATGTGCATCCAGTCGCTGTCGCTCTGCAGCTCCGGCACGTGCTCGGCCGAGACGTCTTCGATCATCATCTGAAACGCGGCACGACTCAGACACTCATCGGTGTGCGTCACCGTGATGGTGTTGAGCTCGTACTTACGCAGCAGGACGTTCAGATGTTCCTCGACGGTCCGCAAGAGAGCGTCGCCTTCGTGCGCGGTTACGGAATCCTCCCCGCTTGCGGCCGACGACGAATCACCGACGTCGTCGATCTCAGTAGCGCTCACGTCATCACTCACAGACGTGACGACGTCATCGTCGTCGTCGTCGTCGTCGTCTTCGACGTCGTCGTCGGTGTCGTCGTCGTCCTGCCCGGGTCGCAGGAGGCACGCGTCGCTCGACTCCAGCAACCACGCGTAACGGACCAATCCCCGCAGCGCGTACGCATCCCTCGGGACAAATCCCGCCTCGTCAGCCGTCACGGGTTGCCGGAAGCGGCGCCGGATGGGCGACCTTGAACCCGAGCATCCCGCCGCGAGAGGCAGCCCGTCGTCGATTGTCGGATCCTGCGGTCGCTCGCTCTCGACGGGAAGCTGTATGCGCAGTAAAAACTGCGGCCATGTTTGTGCGTCCGCCATCTCGGGGTTGTGAATGCGAAGCCCCGCGTGTATGTGTGCGCGTGCGGTACGTGCTGCCTCCGCTGTACGCGTCGACCTTTACGCGCGCGTTGCCACTTATTCGCCGCGTTGGTGGAGACGCGACTTACGCGAGGATGCCGTATCGATCACGGGATGTCAGCAGCATCCACAGCGTTCCCTGCGCGATCTAGCCTCGGGTTTTGGAAACTCTGTCTCCGCTGTAAACCGGCTGTACGGCGTTACGGATAGCCGATCAGCACACGCTATATTAGCGTCACATACGTCACACACGCACATGCACACGCAGACACGTGTGAATGTGTGCCGATTCGTCCATCTGGCGCATTTATACCGTTCGATTTTGGTCGTAGTTACAGGCGATCACTGCTTGCTGCCTCTGTGATGCAATCGTGCTGTTGCGCGCCTGTTTCTGCGCATAATAGTCGATGAGTAATCCGGGGTTACTGCCAGCGCGCGGCGAACGCGTTTAGACTGACACCGTCCGCTCCGTGCCAATGCGCTCGCGTTTAAGCGTGTGGGATATTCCCCATCTAGGCCGCCGCAATAAAAATGTAGTTTACACCGGCATGTAAACACCGCACACGATTGGCTGCTATTTTTAGCCGATGTCGTTTCATTGATAAGATGTCCGACTGCGTGTGATGCTGCGCCTAAGCGCAGCTCTCATTGGCCGCTATTTTTAGAGCGCGTTTTCATCTTGTTATATGTAGTTGAAGGCTGACGCGCTTCAGCGCTTTAGTTTCGCAACCAGAGAGACGTACGGACAGACAGAGAGAGAAAGAGGGAGGAGAAGAAAGAGAAAAGGGGATTAAGAAAGACCGAACGAGAGGGAGAGGAAAAAAGAGATGGGGAGGAAAAAAGAGAGGGAGAGAGACAGAGACAGAGAGAGAGAGAGAGAGAGAGAGAGAGAGAGAGAAAGACAGAGAGATAGATAGATAGAGATCCTGCCTGACGAAATATATCATTGTCTGAAAAAAGTTTGTATATATCGTAGTATCATGAACATATGAATAATATAAAGTTATAAGTTGTACAAATATTTCTCTCTCATATCGATCTATAATACGTAAAAAAAAAAAAAAAATAAAATAAAAAAAAAAAAAAAAAAAAAAAAAAAAAAA